CCATACCAGCAAAAAATGGCATATACCACACAGGCGTACATGAACAATTCATTTAAGTTCAGTTTTAACTGAATTTACCCAGTTTTCACCACTCAGAACTAAAGGCAGACTCAAATGTACTTTGTAGTCAAAATGTAATTCTGCAATGCAACTTGCAGCTAGGAGAAATGATTGCAGTAGTATACCTTTGAAAAATGTGCATGGAAAAATGTGTACATTTAAATGTGCACAAACATGTGTTAGTCAATGAGACTAAAACACATATATTTCAAAAACGTGTAGTTAATAGCTACAGTTGGAAAAATACACACAAAATATGCACATGTCTGTATGTGCAAAAAGTCAAAAGCAAACCTCATGACCTAATATGGATGCAAACTAGAATGAGCATCAGAATGGAAACTGGAAAATTTCGATGCGTAGGTACATGAACCCCTCATGCCGTGGCTGATTTTGACCTGGTTTGCACATAGCTGACATAGTTGTTTAACCCTGGATTTGCTGATAGCTCAAAGGATGCTCACCTTCTGTTTGTTGGTAGCTTCCATTTTCATGTTCCCTGAAAGGAAGCCAAGAAATACTTCAAATAAATAAATAAATAAATAAACACATTTTCATGACAGAAAAACTGAGCTGTTTAGGGTTTAAACAACCCAGAGTTTATTCAACAGCGAACCACTGGTTAACTCTGGGTTAACACTTAAAGAACTCCAAGCTACTGGGGTTGGACATCATAGGTCCAACACAGTATCAGGTTCCTGGGCTATTAATTGGAAATGGAAGTGATGAACGAACAGGTAGAAGTTTATTTGCTCACTGCCACTTGGCCTTAACAAACCATACTTCAAATATAATGATGTTCTGTGTGAACTAGACCATACTTAAATCCTACAGTATTGCTGTCAGTATAGATAAAGAAAAAGATAAGGCACTTGACTCCGGTAATGGACTGTAATAAACAGATTTGATAGGGGATCTGCATTTGCTACAGAGTCTGGCTCCTTTGTCACATGGTCTGCTTTGGTGGTGAGTAGCTGCTTTCGTTGGGTGGCAGCCTGCAAGCAAAGGCAGTCTTACCATTGAAGGACTGTGAAAGGGAAGCATCATTGCCCAGGATGACTGCAGATCAATGGCTGTGTTATCAATGTGTTATCCATTGATAACACATTTATTATTGATAGCACATGAGAACACATTATTGATAACACATGATGACACATTTCAGTGGTTTTCTGCTGTTTTCTGTGACTGCCCTATAGTAGATTATATCTGAGTATCAGTTTGCCCTGTTGATCTGGATTTTAACTAAATCAGGTGTTTTTTATAGTCTAAAGAATGCAAGATTCAAACCCTGAAGTCATGAATCACCATCCAAAGAGTCTGGAGGTATATCATAGAATCATAGAAGAGTGGATTGGAAGGGGCCATGAAGGCCATCAAGTCCAAGCCCCTGCTGTTGCAGGATACCACATTACCCCATCCAACTCGGGTGGCTGTCAAGTCTCTTCCTGAATGTCTCTGGTGTGGGAGAGCCCTCCACCAATCTAGGCAGCTGATATGTTTGTATCCTGGGTGGGAACTGGACTCATGTAAACATGTGCAGTCATCAAAAGGTTTCTGATCCAAGGTGGTGCTTGTTGCTTGCATACCACTTTCTGCAGTCACCGAGCAGAATTCAGAATGTGAGCCCACTGTGATGACGTTTTCTGAAATGTTTTCAATAAATTATAACTGTCTGAGGAAGTCATTGTCTTATCCCATTCGGGATGAAAAATAGGTGGCATGTGGTCTGAGAATGGAATACAGGTAACCAGGCATCTCAGCAGTGATAGGATCAATGCCTGAATTTGTGCAGGCAGAAGTTTTCTGACAGAGACTATAAGGTGTTTCTGTGAAAATTTGCAGAGCTGAACTTTGATGTATGCATGGAGCCTAGGACAGCTGAGTGGATTATAATATATTCTAGAAGGAGACAAAGAACTATCCCTGGTCTGTAAAAAGCAAGCAAACTATTTGCTGTACTGTTTAAGTTTTAGATTGAGAGGCATGAAATTGTTTTCATACAGTAATGGGAGAATTTATGCTAGACAGAAGGCTCTGAGAATTAGGCTGGGAGGCAACACACAGTTTCATTGGCTTATTATTTCTGTTTATTATTTCAATTTTCCATAAAAAATCACCAAAGGAATTATGTCACCATCCAGCCTTCCTGATATGCAAAGCTAAACTATACTGCCCTTCTCTCCTGACCTATAGCTGTTACATAGCCATGCCATCATCTGTGTTTTGCAACAAGATGAAAATGTCTGTATTGAAATGCCAGGAGACAGTAGCAGAAAATTAGTTTGTCTCGGGGACTCTTGATCAGAGTATCATTACCTGAAACCTGATTTATCAGACCAGGGCGTGTGGTTATGTGAGCTCCACGCATGGCAATTGGCTTGGGTCACATGGTGAGCAGGCCTGTTTGGCAAACCCAGGCCATGCACTGGCTAAAAACAAAATGTTTGAGTTGACTCTATCAATTTTAAGAATGTCAAAATATTAAGCATGCATGTGGGACAGACCTGTGGCCAATTCCCTTGTTCAGCAGAAAAAGTCATGCAGCTTATTCACACATTACATTTGTAGCAGATGCACAGCATGTAAATCCATCAATGTATCTTCTAAAGTTGCAGTATGTGGAGTGGCCCAAGCCTTGGATATCCAGGTGGACTTGCCTGCTTCCTCATTAACACTGTCCCTCTCTCAAGCCTGTTAATTATTATTAAAGGGGAGAAATGTAGGGAAACACATACCAAAGTCCATTGCAAGATAAAGAAGCAGCGGGCAACATCTTTTTTATTTTGTACTTTCTATTGTTGCAGCCATGAGCCAAACACCAGCCACCACCGAGCCACCCAGCAATGGGCCTGAAGAGAAGAGCTTTGCCTTTGAAGTCCCTGACATCGTTGTTGTTGTCATCTATTTCGTCTTTGTCCTTGCTGTGGGAATATGGGTAAGTCTGAAATCCCGGGGATTATTTAAAGACAAGAGCAGTTTCCTCACTCTATCCAGAAACACCCAAGTAGGTCACACACCTGTCAGGTAAGTCCCAAACAGGTACCTTTTTACCTTGCTGCCTTGCTTTTTAAGAGAGGTCACCTTACATGAACAACACCAGGGCACTGTAGGATAGCATTGCTGCTTCTCACTGCAAACACTTAATCTCCTTCGAGTTGCATAGGAAAATGCAGGTTTCTTCTTATTTTTGACATAAACTGGCTGTCCATCTGGTTTTGGTCCACTGACTAAACTTCAGTGCTGCGTGCTTCCAACAAGCATTTGCTGCAATGTTGCATCTTATTCCTAGACTTGCTGTGTAGGTGAGAAGCATGCAGCATTTAGTTACAAAGTCTGCAGTCCAGTGCAAGTTTAGACAGAAAAAATGCCTACAGCTTCCAGCATGCCCTAGCCGGAGTAGCTGGGAGTCACAGATCTTTTTTCCCCCTGGGTAAAATTGTATAGGATAGTGGTTTAAGTTAAGATAGCTTGTTTATTCAATCCTCTATATGTCATATGGTCTGGAAGCCCTTCTTCTGAATGCTACAGATGTAAGAGATAGTTGGATAGTAAAGAAAGTACCGGGTATTTTCACTCCATTCTTTATTTAATAGGGGCAGTAATATTTGTTCATTTAACAATACTTATGTACTGCTTAACTTGATGCAAGTTCCATATGCATTGCTAGCCATGCATTAGACCAAGGGTCCAGTAGTTTCCCCCAGAACCCATCCAGGCGGCCTTGAAAAGCTCACGAGCTCAAGGCATCCTCTGTGGGCTGCCCAGCACCTGATAAATCAGCAGTCTCCTGTCTCTGAAGAGCTTGCATTCAGCCATGAAGACTGATGAGCCATTCGGAGTGGCTTCCTTTGAATTTGTCTACTGTGCATCAAAAGCCATTTAAGGTCAATGTCATTATTCCTGCATGGAATTGCTTATGTGGAGGACATACTGCATGTCAGCCTCAAAGCAACCGCTGCTCACTTTCAATGAATACCTGAAAACCAGTGACCAGAATATAGGGCAAGCACTGAAATATATTTTTGGACTGCAAAAAGGAACCACAGGGTCTTTCTACCATTCCCTACGTGTCTCTGCACTCCTTCAGTACCAGATATGAGTATCCCAAAAGAAGTGGATAGAATTTTCATGGAAGGAAAATTCCCCACAATATCAGCCACTTGTGCATGATTCTTGGGGATCTCTCCTGTACTATTTGGGATGCCGTTGAAGCAGAAAAGTGCCCCAATTTTGGGACAATTCTCTCTTCTCCCAGCATGCCTCCTGTCCAGTTCCAGTTCATATGGTGGTATGATCCCACCTTGCCTTGTTCCACAGTTCAGGAGGATCTTGTTCCCTCCAGAGAAGAGAAATTGTGTGGGGTGGGGGAGCCGCAAGGACAAGCTGGGGGGAGAGTGCAGGAAAATGCCTTTCTGCTGGTTTTATTGATTTACTTTCATGTAACACTTTTTCATACCATCACAAGAGCCTCATGCCTCTCTGTACAGTTTACATAATAAAATCATGACAAAACAGAAGAACTACATAAATCAAACAATGAAAACATCCATACCAATAAGCAATAAAACAATTCAGCATCCCCAACACAGCCGGGGCAGCAGGTAATAGCATACATTAACATAACAGATTGGATAAATCTCGAAAGATTACAATTTAAGATACCAAATTGACTAGTTAAAATGCCTGTCAGAAATTTAAAAATTTCAACCCCGAACAGTCAACAATTAAAATGCTTTGCAAATAACAACATCTTATCCTGGTGCCGGAATGTATATAGGGAAAGCTCTTGGTGGACATCTCTGTGAGGTTGGATTCATATTTTGAGGTGCAAGCAACTAGGTTTTCTTTTGTTTCATCTCCCCATCTCCATCCTCATATGTTTTCCTTCATTTCAGTCTTCTTTTCGAGCGAGCCAGGGAACAGTTGGAGGCTATTTCTTGGCTGGAAGATCCATGACGTGGTGGCCAGTGAGTATATAACCAATACATTCTTTACAATATAAAGTGCTGGTTGATGTTAGTACAAGGGTTTGGAGACAGGATGAAAAATAGCCTTCTCAAATGAATGTGGTTCTGACCCCACTCCATCTTCCTCTTCCTCCTCATTGTGGTTTTAGAGTAACTACACACACACTGGTAGCATATGGTAGCCTATTTAGAAATGCAGTCAGGTGCATCTTAAACAAAAGCAATTTCCAACTTCTTAGCAAAACCAGCTATGTTGTTTACTTTCCCCACCCCTCCAAAAAAGCCAGACTATGGTTAGCATACACCTGTGTTGCTTTTGTAAGCCACTGGGGAAGGGTGAGGCCCTAATATACAGCAAAGAAATTAACCATTAAATACCTAGTTGAGTTACTCTCTAACCTCCAAGATTTCATTTGAAGGTTCCTAAGTGGGTTTATTTCCACCCTTCAAAGCTGCATCTTTTCCTGTTTCCTGAAACATTTGGTCCCTCCCTTTCTCTCCTCCTCTCTCTGACATACAGATGGTTTAAATTTTTCAGAACCTGCAGTTCAATTACTTCCACTCTCATTATAGCATCCCCAAGAGACTTAACAAGTAGCCTGACAAGGGTTAGTCTGTTGTGGGCCAAAGGGACATATCTGTTGGTATGAGGTCAACAGAAGCCATGGAATGTTCCAGTGCTGGGAAAGCAATAAAGTAGGTAACATGAAGTGGTAAATAAAAATAAAATATTAAATTAAATTAAAAATAAAAATAAAAAACAGGGTGGGGAGAAAGGATATCGCAGTAGATCTAGAAGAAAGGTAAGGAAGGAGGGCAGTGGTGTGGATCTTTCCTGCCATGATGGAGCATGAACCAACCTGGAACATGCAGTACATAGTTCCAGACAGGTTCAAACACCTACAAGAGAAACTCAGAAAGTGTCAGCGAATGAGAAGGCCTTCTCGGTGGTGGTGCCCTGATAATGGAACAATCTGCTTCACTGATGCCTGTTTGGTTCCAACACCATCATCTTTTCAGCAGTGGTTAAGGACTGTCCTCCAGGCATATGCTGGAGACTTTATGTCAGCTGTCTTTACCAGGTCCAGTAGCGGACTGAAAATGTTTCAGTTGTTTAACCTGTTTTAAATTCTGTAGGTTAAAATGTACACCATGTTTTTCTCATCTTGCGTTTGTGGTTTGTAATTTTTGTGAACCACCCAAAGGGCTTCTGCTGGTGGTCAGTAGAGAAATGAACACTACCACCAAATAAGTAATCAGGAACATTGTTCCAACTGCTACACTCTATAGCACTGCAGGCATTGAAGAAAATCGTTAGATGATGTATTAAAGATTTATAAAAGCCAATTGGTTTAAAAATTTGCTGTTTGCAGAATTGTGTGTGGCAGTATAGCAATTTCAAACACCCCAGCACAAAAATGAATCACCAGTTAGGGAAAAGGCATTCTAAAATGCTCAATAAATGCCAGTAGGAAGCACTTCTTTATGTCAAGTAGCATTGTATTGCTGGCAACATGGGGAGCATTTAGATTCTTAGCTTTACTATATACAAATCCAAAATAACACTCAGGGCCATGAACCATTCATAAAGCAGCATCAGCTGTTGCCAATATGAATGACAAATCCTTTAAAACAAACAAACAAAAATGTTTTTAAAAAAATACACAAGGCAGTAGTCAGGGATTTTTTTAAGATTAAAAAACTCAGGTCCTCTTTCAGGTAAGAATGAAAATAAATGCAAGTTCAAGAGTTGTTACTGTTCCTCTCTTACTAAAAATCTCTTTGCACCATCTAGTAACTTCTTCATTTATGGAGCAACTGTGTTAGGCCTGCAGTTCTCCACACTGAACCAATGGGATATAAATCTCTAGAATGATTCACTGGAAAGGCATAAAGCTTTTGAAGGACACATTTTCTTTGGAACAGAAAGGTAATATAACAATAATTTAAAGACCTAGAGAAATAAGTGTCAGTGAAGTAAATATCCTTTTCACCCTTTCTCCAAAAAAAAACCAACAACACATGACTGTAGATCTCTCAAGTATTTAACCATGAGCTGAGCAAAGTTTTAGACTCCAGCTTTGTCTTCTGTCCTGTGGGTTACATTAATTGTAAATTCTGTAGACTGAGTTTATCCTCATGCCTCCACTAGAGACTATATATATAGTTTTAATGTGCTTGGTGCTCCAGTTTCTCCCAGGTGATATTTAAGCATTGACTTACCTGAATCCTCACAGCTACACTGTAGGAAATTTAAGAGGCTGACAAGAAGCCAATTGTTCCCATCACCTGCCTGGTAGATTTCGTTTTCTCAGGCAAAAGAAAGGGGCCATAAGAATCGCATCCAAGCACAGAGACTTGTGGTTTGAATTTGGATGCATTATAAAAACCAGTCTCCTGCTACCCTGCCTAAGATTGCTCTTTAGCATTTAAAGATGACCTTTAATTTTGGACATCCCCATAGACTCCCTCTTGTTTTCATGAACCATTGAATTCAAGGGAAACCATAGGAAAGTTAGCCAGTGCCAGCTCCAGTCTGCTTTGTGTGAAACCCAAATGTACAAAGCATAAAGCCTGCATAAAGGTATTCCTTTCCCTTATCTGTGGCCTTGGTGAAGATGCTACAGTTTACACTCATGCCTTATTCAGGGAGCTGCCATGAGCTGCAAAGAAAATGGGCATATGGAGGCCCACATTATTTCCGCCTTATTCTGCAGCTCAGGAGATATACAGAGAATGGATCGCAACAAGAGGCCTTCCTGTTGACCCACTTTCCTATTACAAAGGCTTCAGCATTAAGCTATAAGCATGCAGGCAGTTGCTTCTCTATTTTCTGCCAATTTTCTTGCCTTCCTGTTCTTATTCTTAGCAGCAATTTGTCTGAGTGGAGGAAGTGCTAACTCGGAAGCGGGCAATATCATGGCCCGATATTCACATTTCCCTCAGATATATGAGAAAAGGTAGATGAATTCAAAACAGAATTTGTGCCATGCAAGCCAAGGTGGCAGCTTGTTCCCCTCTGATTTCAGAGGATTCTGGGATGCCCTGGATGTTGGAAGGAGTGCGGAGGCGAAGGGTACCTCTGCATTGCTCTTGTCCTGTAAAACACTGAGATGGCAAATTTTGGAAATCGGCTTTGCCATGAAGCCTGAGGAGAGGAGCCTGAGGCACCCTGAGGAAATGTATTTCACTTATTTATTTAAAACATTCGTATGCCACCCAGTTGTGCCATACCACCTTGCAACACAAGATAAAAACACAATAAAATGTAATAACAACCATAACATATTTCACATTCAAAACAACAATACAATGCTGTAAAACATAAAAAGCAAAGATCTATGGCAATTCGTTATTAATTTTTATTTTTATTTTTTGCCTGACACCAAAAAGAAATTAAGGAAGGCGCCAGGCAGATCTCCTTGGGGAGAGCATTCCAAATATGGGGAGCAGCTGTGGAAAAGGCCCTCCTCCTAGCGGCCACCCCTTCCAACTCCTGAAGGGATGCTCAAACAGGAAGGCCTCCTGCATACATCTCAGGGGCCAGGTAGGCACACATGGGTGCAGGTGCTCCCTAAGATAACCAGGGCCTAAGCCATTTAGAGCTTTATATGTCAGCACAAGCACCATGCACATGCTCATGGAATTTGTCCTCCACTCCTACTCCAGCAGAGCATCCACAAAGCACCATCTCAGAGGTCATTCTTGCAAACCTCTGAGCTGTGGCTGATGCAGTATTTTTCTCTTCTAGCTGCAGGGAGGGAGGGAGGGAGGCACTGCAAGCCTGGCGTCCCAACAACAGCCTTAGAACAAGTTTCTGAAATCAGACTCAGGGATCCAAAGTTTGCTATGGCTGCCTAGACAGTGGAATGACACCTTTTAAATTAAGGAATGACACCATTTAAAACTTTGGATTATCATTTATAATACAATTACAGTGCTCTATCAGAATTGTTCAACACAAATACAAGAGGATTTCTAATGTTCTGAATATTAATATGAAATAGCCCGACACCTGGAAAAGGAGCATGCCCCATTGCTGGGGGCAGGGGAGCCTAATATGCTCTTTGTTCCCATCGCTAGCAGTGTCTTTTTTGTCTAGTGTCACCTGCCACCTGTGTCTCCTCTTGTTGCCATTGACTTGCACTCTGAGGGTCTATCTCACTCCTTCCTATAACCCTAACACTCTCCCTCACATATATATCTTCTGAGTGTGTGTTTGTCTAAAAGATTTCCTCTTGGGTCAATATCCTACAGATACGATTCCATGCAGCACCCCCAAATGCCCCATTTGCATAACCCAAAGCCTCTTGCTACATCTTTTTCATGAGAACCCTAAGAAGGCAGTGCTCCATACAACCTTTTCATGGCTTCCTTGATTTCTGTGGAGCTGCCCCTGCTCTCAGCCCCACTCCTCAAGATGATTAGTGTGCGACATTTTAACAAATCTGGAGGAAAGGTTTGTATAGAATGAATTGCTCTGCAAGCTCCTTTATTAGCTCTGCGATCCAGGCCTTAGGAACAGCCCAGCTACTGCCAGAGGAATGGCCAACTTGCAATTACTGAAGGGCACTGTGGCATTGTGTTGCACAGCTTTATATACCTTTCTTTAAGATAAAGAAAAGAATCCTGTCTTTTACCATCAGGGTATGTGTCCTAGGGAAGGTGTTTACACTTCTCAGGAGCCCTTCTATTTACCCAAGATATGAATGCATATTACAGCAGTCATTCTTTTAATCAGAGGAATCCCCAGTGAGATGTTTGTGGTTTTGGCTTGAGGAAAGGTTCCTAGGCTTATCCAGTATTAATATTTTAACTATCCCAAAGGTGAGAAGCAGGTCAAATTCCATTAGTCATCGTTTAGAGCTCAGCAGTGCAGAGGCAGAAAGACCTGCTACAGAGAAAGGGAGAGAAATTGAGAGAGCAGCAGCTTTTATTGGAAAATATAACATTCCAAGTTCTGGATCTGTCAGCTTCTGAATTACACTGAGCTTTTTTATAGTTGTAAGTATGAACACCACTTTTTGATTCAACCCAGCACAATGATGTTGCATGGCAAGTAATGTTAACCTTGTGGAGTTGGCCATGTAAATACAAAATAGCAAACAGTTTGGATGGAAGCTAAGCTGGCACTGAACATAGTGGGTCTGTTGCAAGTTACCCACCCTAGTTTTGTTCCAGCAAAAGTACCCCTGGCTCCATGAGGCTGCTAGACATCTGAAGATAAGAGATCAAATCTGTATTTAACAGAAATGTGATACATCAGAATGAAAGGGCCCAGGTAGGTGTACTTGTAGCAGACCAGTTGTCTGTCATCATGAGATTAGCAGTTTGGCCTGGTATGTACCGTGCCATCTCTTGTAGGGCATGATTCATATAGGTACTTTGCTGTACTAATACAGGACACACCTGTTCTCAACAGCATAGGAAGACAAAGCACAAGTACACTGGAGGGTGGGAGGAATACCGATTTTATTACCTGGGTAGATTTTTTTTGTGGCTGCCTGGACCAGCATCACAAAACCTGCAGGCAGCAAGAACAGGGCAATACCTGAATGTGTTGTCTTGTTGTCACATACACTTGGAGTTGCCCGGACTGTCCGCACTCTGATACAGGGGCAATGATGGGAGAGGAATGTATCTGTGTGGCAAAGAATGTTTGTGGGTCATCATGCCCTTAATCGCAGCAGAAAACCTGGTTTACATTTGCACTCATTAAAAACACATGGACCTGAGGCAGTGTGCCATGACAAGAGTGCCATCTGGGCATTCCCAGGACAAACAGCTAGTAGAAAAGCTGGGCAGGAACTCTCTGCCCCACATACCCTCGGCTTTGGTCTGTTTCATTTTTTGCTTTCCTTGCTTTTTTACTTACCTGAAATGATGCAGTCTACCCTCTCAGGATTCTACCACTTCATCTCGCTGCTTGCTTAATTAAGCTCATCTCAACAGTGATATGAGGATGCAGTATCAAAAAGGACGGCATCTCTAACCTACCTAGTAGTTTACCTTAATTAGTAGTATTTCCTTGGAAATACAAAGCATGGCCCACATATACTGGATACAAATTGACATATGCCTCATAACTTGCATCTACTCTTTCCAAACTCCCAAGTTCTCCACACTGACAGTAATGGCACTGTTACAATTAACCCAAGGTATTAACCTGGTAGGAACCTCAGTTTCTAATCTCCCACAATTTACATTCTGTATATTTTTAACCAAACCTAGCCACATATTATGAATCACATCTCTGCATTATTCCTCAAACTATGTCTTCCTCTGCTTGTCAAGGAAGTATATTCAGTCACAGTGAAGTAAGCTTAAGCCTCAAACATGCTGTTTAAATATTTGCCCACAGAAATGCAGTGCATTCTTTCGTGTAATACATGATGTATTTTCCCCAGAGTACCTGGTCAGAGCACTGCCTGGTGGTGACAGGGCTGCCTGCGATGTCAGCATGTGGAAGGCTCTGATGCTTCAATTCACGCAGGTTGGCACTCCAAACCTGATCAGCTCATTCAAATACCTTCCAGGTAGCAAAATCCAATGAGAAATCTAGAATGAGGTTTACACAAAACTCCATTCAACATCAGCTGTATCAGCAAACTTCCAAACCACCCACGCAGGAAGTTCCCAAACAGGAACTTCTTCAAGCCTTCTTGTAGCCACAGCATATAAATATTTGGATTATGAAAATGTGCATAATCATGGCACAATCAAAAGGAACCCAGTACACTGTCACACAGCAAGTAATAATGTGGTAAATGTGTTACAATGGTCTTCTCATGACTACCAGGCATGGGAAAACTGCACGATTGGAATCACAGGATACACCCCTTCCATTATAACTATTGGGCTTCTTAACAGAGGGAACTGCACATAAAACAGGTGCCTGACCCATTTTAGGCCTGAGAGTGGCCTCACAACAGCACACTGGACACACCCAGCCAGGCTCTAAAGTAGCAATGATGACCTTTCCCCAAGACTGCAATTCAGAGAGTGTAGCAGAAAACTTATCTGTCTTATTCATCTGTCTTGCCCTTAGCCTACCAGTCAAGTTCACAGCTCCATCTACTGTTCTTTAGTCTCTACCTCATTTCCCATTCCTTCTTGCTATGGTTCTGGCGTTTTAAAATCTTGTGATATGTTTATACCATCTTTGCTTTTAAACACAGAATTCTAATCATGAGATGAGAAACCTCTTTGTAATGCCTTCATATTTACTCACTGTTTTGCATGAACTTGGAGCATTTTCTACCTAAGTACGAACTATGGTATATTTCATGTTTCAGATTGGAGCATCTTTGATGTCAAGCAATGTGGGAAGTGGCTTATTTATTGGACTAGCAGGCACCGGAGCTGCAGGAGGCCTTGCTGTTGGAGGCTTTGAGTGGAACGTAAGAGCCTCTTGCTGGATCCAGCTCGCTCTGTGCAAGGGCGCTGGGGGAGGGTATGGGCCTTGTCAAGCGAATGCATTACTTGAGATCCTCAGATGCTTGAATTTTACTGTAATTCTAACAAAACAACTTGAAAAGCACAATTAGCTTCGGCAGAATAACTACTAGGCTCTCATGGCACAATACAATGGAAATAAGCAGTTGTACTTGATAGAACTGAACAGAATTAACACTAAGTACATCTAACTTTCCTAAAACAAACAGCAATCTGAACTTTAATGGCCTCCCCAGATTTGGAAAGAGCCCTTACAAGTACTCAACCACAGAATTATCACATAAGGAATATCAAGCAATGGTTTGGGGCAAACATTGAATAACAAGTACTTAGGGTTACCCAACTTACCATGGATTCCAAGGAATACTGGGCCAAAGTGGCTACAGAATTAAAACTGACACGTTAAAATCACACAAGAACTGCCTCCTTTTGAATTTTGAAACTTTCTCCAAAATCACTTATGAAAAATTGCATAGCAGTTTCTTTTCTAATTTTAGTCTAATTCTTGTGATCATACTGATCATATTGCCTTCATGGTAGCCAGGAAAGAAATTTGTCTCACCTGCTGTGCATTTCAGAGGAGTACCACTGAACAAGAGAATTCTGATCTCCCCAGCAGATATTTACTTCTAAAGAAAAGTCAGTTTCCTACTGAATAGCTAGAAATGAATCAGTCTTGAGCTGGCATTTTTAAATATATTGAATATGAGCATATGACAAATTCAGGTCAAATTATATTGCCCCAACACAATAGTCTTGTCACGATTACAACCTCTAGCCCCTTCCTCCGCAGTCATCCTACAGAGTTAAAGCGGCTAACTCTGTACCAGCATTGTTTGAAGAGCATGACTATTCCACCTTCCCAGTAGCTGGTGTTGCTTGCAATGACAACACTTCACTCACCGCAGAATCCTGCAGAGATCCTGAGGGATGTATGAACTTCTCAGCTGCCAGAAAATCTGCAGCTCAGCTGTCTCGAAGATGAATGATTTTTCTCGATGCTAAAGGTCACCCAATAATACACCTCCAGATGCAGTAAAAATGCACTCTGGCTAGAATGGTGAAGAAACAGGGCTGAATTCCAGTAGTTACAGTTTAATGGATGAAAAAGAGGTCTCCAAAAGCCAGTGTCCTGAGTAATAAACAGTGTCCACCTTCAAACTGCCTGATCATATCTGGCTTTAACTGTATGCCAATGCAAGCACTAATGTATGATGTTAAAACCTAATCCTCTGCCTGGCATGCCAAGTAGAGCTCACAGACTCTGCACATCTGCCGAGAACCTCCACTTCTTTCCTTAATGTCAACATTGGTTTATATTTCTGCTGTCTTGCATGGCAGTTGCCCATCAGAGAGGCCACGGGATGCCACACAAAGTGAAAATGACTGCACCCACTTGCAGGCTGCTGTGATGGGCCTTTTGTGGTAAATGTTTACCTCTTCAAGGACAAGGAAGTGCTGTTGATGCACGAAACACAGTGCATCCTTCCAAACTGACAGCTCCATTTGTGTCTGTTCAAAGCATTGGCTGAAACCGTATACTGGCATAGGCTAAGGATATGGGATAAATTCATTTTGTTTCACTTTTGATCAGGATTTACCCTTTTTGCACTTCCCAAAATAAATATGAGCTCAGAGACCATTTGTGATCAAAGTCCATGTATTTCTAATCTGACGCACAGTTTGAGTACTGACAAAAATGTGCTGGATAATATGTGTTCATTTGAAAAATATCCACAAAGAAATGTATGTTTGTAAGAACTTTGCACAGATAGGCTTTAATCAATGGGAGAAGAATCTGTGCATTTCAAAGATGTGCACAACCTTTGAAAAAATATGCACACGTTTTCATATGAAAAGAAAAGAGCAAAGCTTATACTGTGCTATGGACTAAAGTCAGAATGAAGAAATTCAGAGAAATTCTCTAGCATAGGACGACGACGCTCCATCCTATGAACTACTTCTTCAATACTTCAGTTCAAAGCATCACCATGAGAAATGCAATCTGAAACACAGGACAGTGACTAGCATCCATTTTGTGAAGGGGCCCACCGCTGCAGCGTTGCTTCCCTGTTTTATTTGGAAGGGATCTGTTCCAAACCTGAAAGCTCCTTATTCCAAATATTCACTGACAACTCACCCCCTTGGCTTTGGTGACATCAAGATTCAGCCTTATTATTTTAGAAGCACAGACCTGAAAGAGTAGCTGGAAGTCACATTTTTCCCATGGATCAGGGCCGTCTTAAGGCATGGGCCTGATGGGCACTTGCCCGTGGGCCCCATACTAATCTGTGCATGTTAACCCTTGGAAAATTGGAAAACTTCCAAAATTAACAGTAGTTGTCGTTGTCGTAGGGGCCCCAGTACACTGCTTTGCCCGGGGCCCATAATGCTGTTAAGACGGCCCTGCCATGGATGCTGCTGCCTCCTGCTTTTGTGATACGCTTCACATCGTATCGTATAGGAGCTTGTCAATTACCTTCTCCAGCTTATTAAGCAGAAGTCATGCATGTACTGCTAGGTGAGTGTGGGTGCAGTGCCAGGGACTTTAAAACATGGGGGGAGATGATTGAAAAATGCAAGAGAGGCATCAAAAATTGAAAACAGAAGGGAAGCAAGGCTGCGTGCATGTGCAGGTAAAACCAGAATTCTAAAAGGGTGAGTTTTTTCACTATAATCCTACGTCGGTCTTACTCTGAATCCTGCAAGCCCCGAGAAGTGGCAGGTGGCCATGTGGCTGAGGCAATGCATGTTAGTGAATTTGACCGTTCTGCCTCCAGTTCTTTCACTTCTTGAATCACAAGAAGTTGATTCAGTCTTTCCCTCTAGCGACCATGTGTCCTTGCTGCATCTAGCTGAGACTTGGGCACTGCATTCGGGGTGCCTTCTAACTCAATAGAACTATGGACAATATGCCCACACAAATTTTATATTGCCTATATTCCCAGTCTCAATCATTGGGAATTGGTGGAAGATGGTGATGATGGTGATGATGCTTGCATAGAAAGGATTATGTATACTGTACAAATTCCATGCAACTGCTGTATGTTTTTCTTCTTCCTTGCTAGGCCACCTGGGCACTGTTGGTCCTCGGCTGGATCTTTGTGCCAGTTTACATCTCTGCAGGAGTGGTCACGATGCCCGAATATCTGAGAAAAAGATTTGGAGGACAGAGGATTCAAATCTACCTGTCTGTACTGTCCCTTATTCTGTATATATTCACCAAAATATCCGTATGTATCCCAGAGAAATATAGTCATAGCTTCTGTAGTGGAGCCCTTTCACAGCAATGCTACCATTCCCGCTGAATTGTTTCTACATGCTGGATCAGCACCTCCACTCTATGCTGAGCTTTCCTACATGAGGCGTTTAGTGTGTGCTCGTCATTTCCGACTCATGGCTCCTCCTGGGTTCTTTAGACAATGTTATTGAGTGGGGATGTGTGAGGAATCCGACTGGGCTGTGGGAATCCATCAGATTGCCTGGACTTGGCTTCCTGGCTTCCAGACACAGCTGTAAGTCTGCAAACCTGGCAAGTGTGCTAAGCATTCACGGGACACTTGCCAGGCACTGCCCTGCATAAGGACCGTCCTTCTTCCATGCCATGTGCAGCAGACTCTTCCTGCTGATGCCACGGTGTAGGACACGGAATAATCAATCCAAGCTGGCACAACCCAGATTCAGGCTGGCCATCGGGAGAAGCTTCCTCACGGTCAGAGCAATGCAGCAGTGGAACCAGCTGCCTAGAGAGGTGGTGGGCGCTCCCACACAGCAGACATTCAAAAAGAAAATGGAGAGCCTGAGTGGTGTCCTGCAACATGGGAAGGGGGGCGGTTTGGACTCGATGGCCTGCATGGCCCCTTCCAACTCTACTATCCTGTGATTCTAAGACTTCATTGTGCTGCCAAACAAGATGTGGAAGAAGGCTGCTCACTTGGGTCTGACCAGGAGTGGAACCTTACGTGACCACAATAAGCAGCATTCCTCTTCCACGCCACATGCAGCAGCCTTTGTGCTGTTGCATGTGATACAGAAGAACATTGTTGGTTACGCAACCTTCATTCCACAAGCATTCACAGGCTTCCCTTCTGCTTGGCTCACTTTCTAAGACCCCATGGAGAGCAAGAAGACATGCGTGAATGCTAGAGGGATGGATTCTGCCGAGTTTTGTCCCAACCCTAGTGCTGACCCTTCAGTTTCAGTTTCATTTTTAAAACAGCACTTTGGCGAGGTTTCTTTAGAGCAGGGGTAACTGCACTCTCGTTCATGGAAGCAAAAGAAAATGTATTTTCCTACTCGTATAATTTAATTATTTTGTTATAACACAGTGCCACCTAAAGGGCATGTAGGCAGGAAAGGAAATGCTTTTTATATAGAGGACAGTTTTGTGACAAAAACAAAAACTAAATATGGGAGTCCACAGCCCTGAGTAGAAAAGCTCATTGTGGTATCCCAAAAACTACATTTCAGGACCAACCTCAGCCTTGTGGGGCCCCTCAACCAAATGGGTCCCTTCCTAGTGTGCTAGTAGGGCAGCAAATAGCAGGGTCAGATATCTGGATCTCCCCACTGTTTTACATCCTTATAATGCCCCTCATATATTGTTGTTCTAAGGCACTGTGAGAAATGGAAATGTGTCTCCATCTACCTGCCCCCTGAGGGGGGAAGGAAGGGTGCCCCGGGGCAGTGGGTCAGCAATGGACCCCACAGAGGTGCTGGCCTGCCAGCAACTGCTCAAGGGTGTCTGAAGTTGATGCCATCCCTGCTTAAGTTTGTCATGCATTCCTGATTCCTGGTGTGCTGATTTGCAAACGTAATCTTAGCACATTCATCTACAATATTTATTGCAGAGACAATAACTGAGTGCAGCTAACCATATCAAACCCATTTCATATTTGTTCCAGACAGACATTTTCTCTGGTGCACTTTTTATCCAAGTCTCTCTGGGTTGGAATCTTTATCTCTCTACAGTGATCCTGCTAGCAGTGACAGCTGTCTACACTATTGCTGGTAACTCTGGTGTTTAAATAATTCTGCAACGATGGTGTGAAAAGCAAGACATTCCTTTACATATTGCAGCAGTATGCAAAAACTTGTTGTTGCTAGTCACAAAGTCGTGTCCGACCTATCACGACCCCATGGACAACATTCCTCCAGGCCTTCCTGTCCTCCACCATCCCCCAGAGTCCACTTAAGCTCACGCCAACTGCTTCAGTGACTCCATCTAGCCACCTCATTCTCTACCGGCCCCTTCTTCTTTTGCCATCTATTGTTCCCAGCATTAGGGCTCTTTTCCAGGGAGTCCTTCCTTCTCATTAGGTGGCCAAAGTATTTGAATTTCATCTTCAGGATTTGGCCTTCTAAAGAGCAGTCAGGGTTGATCTCCTCTAGGACTGACTGGTTTGATCACCTTGTGGCCCAAGGGACTCGCAGGAGTGTCCTCCAGCACCACAATTCAAAGGCCTCAATGCGTCGGCGCTCAGCCTTCCTTATGGTCCAATGCAAAAACTAGGCTCATGGATAACACTAGAAAATTGATCTTCACTGAAATGAATCCAGCTCCTATATGATGTAGGACTAAAACACCAGTAAAACATAAGTAAAACTCCAGTGAGCAAGCCCTGAAAGAAATATTTGAACCAAACTTCATGTATTCATTTTTTCTATCCTGTATTTGCAACAGCTTTGCTTTTTTTGAGGATCAATTCATATGTGAAACTGTGAGAATATTTTCTCGGTGGGTCTCATTTTTTAAAACCAAAAATAGACTTGGGGGACCTGTGATCTGAACCAGATATTCACTATAGGAGACAGGATAATTGTCACTTTCTGTACATAACATTCTTTCTTGTAAGATTGGCCCTTTTCAGGATGGTCCTTTATCCATCACCTGAGAGGGGACACAAAAAATGGCCTGTTTAAAAAGAGAGAGCACCGCTACTTCTTTCTGGGCCAGGTTGCAGTTTTCTGCAGCTGGTTTGGGATAAATAGCCAAACAAATCCATACAACCAAGAGTCATAAATTTGGCCCCAAATGCACAGCAGATATTTTGATACTTCATTCATTTTGTGTTGATTAAACCTGTATTCATTTTGTTATTTGTTAAGATCACATTAATTCTATTATTCAATCCAATTCATTTTGCTTACTCACAATCTTTGGAATGTGTGTACTTGGCTATTATTTGGAGAGTTTGCATAAAGAAGTACAGCAACAAAACTCTGCTTAGGGGCTACCACCTGTTAGACCCTGCTTCATTTTTCCAAAAAATCAAATGTATGAAATGGTACCTGAGAAAAAAAATAGTGACCCCACAACTGGCAGACACCTTGTGTATGTGTGCGTGCGCATGAATGTGCATGAATGCCTGTGCGCACAAGTGCGGAGCAATCGCCAGAACACTCTAGAACAATGTAACATCTGGGCCCTTTGTGGATCTGTTCTGTCATCATTGAAGGTAAGCTTGCCTTCGATAAATGAGTGATGGATGGATAAGAATAGGATAATGAAAATGAATCTTTTTGTTCCTGTTGGTATTCATTTCATAAGAAATTAAACTGGATTGGTTCAATTTTTCATTTGTTAAGAAATGAATTCATACACTTAAAAATCCACTGAGTTTCAGAATGAATTGAAGAAGCCCAGATTGCCAACTTTTGAAGCCATAAGGATTCCACCAGTTCTTTGTTATTCTTTCTACAGGCGGTTTAACTGCAGTGATATACACAGATGCTCTGCAGACTGTGATCATGGTGGCTGGAGCCTTGGCCCTTATGTTTATAGGTAAGAAAAAGAAGGAATCGTGTTGCTTCTGTTATTTAGCAGATTGAAGAGTGCATCTGAATCAGTGCCAAACAATGCCTCAAATAATTATTATGAGGAGATAAACATGGGCTAGTGCTAGTCTTTATCCACCCTGGCACACTTTATCGTTAGGCAACACTTTAAAAATCAGGACAAAAGCCTGTTTTCTCCCAAGACCAATCAAACAATAAAGGTCTTACAATGCTTCTAGTTTGGAGCACTGGCCTTTTTGCAAAGTTCATTCACTGGATCAGGCCGCATTTTTAGAGGAACTGAATCCATTAAAATTATTCAGAGAAATTGCTGACACCTTTATCCCAACAAATTAGTAATATTTTAATGTATTAAATGAAATATCAATTTATAGGATATTATAACAAGATACTAAAGTCTTAAGCAAAAGATTCCTTGTAAGTTTCAATTCCTATTGTAGTGCTTGCCTCTTTGTTATTAATAAATAATATTTTTGTTTATATTGTAGATAATAAATATATTTTTAAAAGTTTAAAGCATCTTTAAAAGTGGAAGTGTATCAACAGCAAAAATGGCTTCCATTCTTGGCAGGCATGAGTGGGGAACAGGTTCCAGTTGGGACTTTTGTGGGGCAAAGTCAAAGCATCTGTCTCCACACAGTATGGTCCCAAACTGAATCCTTTCACCCATTCCAGTTATTTGGGAAACTAAAATCAACCATATAAAGCTAATCCACACAACAATCTCCTCTCTAGTTTGGCCTTGAGAAACATGGCTGGAGAATGGAGGAAAGACATATGGCTGAGATAATGGGTGCATGGATGAATGGGATTTATTAACTGGGTTCTCCTTCTTTTTAGGTTTTGATAAAGTTGGATGGTATGAAGGACTGCAAGAGAAGTACAGCAAAGCAATCCCCAGTGTCATTGTCCCAAACACCACATGCCACTTGCCACGGCAAGATGCTTTCCACATGCTGAGGGATCCCATCACTGGGGATATTCCATGGCCTGGGCTTATATTTGGCCTCTCCGTGCTTGCTCTTTGGTGCTGGTGCACTGATCAGGTAAAGAAAATCGTCTGGGCTTTTGTACCCATCTTTCTTGATGAATCTTGAATGGAGTTATCCTTCCCCCAAGGTTGAAAGAAAGGAAAGAGGAGAGTAATGCACATATGCTGGAATGGAAAACCCATTGGGTTTTTCAATAAAGATATGTGAGCAGGATGAGCTCTCTTGCTTTCCTTGCCTTTACAGCATATACAAATCATTTGTACTACACATATTTTAAGCCCATATTAGAAAAAAAGAGTTCAGTGACAGTGCTAAAGCTTACCATTTGGAAAAAGCGATGAAGTGCAAAATTGAACATTTTTTGCCCTCTAGAGCTAGCTCAGGAGCTCCAGTTCTCTCTTGGTATTGAAGAGAACAGAAACCATCTCTACAGCCTCCCAACCAACTATACAGCAATTGTATACTGCATTTAAATTTCACAGATAATTGCATAAAACAGTGAACTGGAAGCACAAAATGATTTTTTTAAATTTAAGCCTCTGTTAAAATTAGTCACACTATTTCAAGTGAATTAGGCAAATATGAGATTTCTACACTTTTATATTTCACACATTTGTTAGGTGTATCTCTTCCCATAATTTTGAAAGAGGCTGTATTACACAGATTCTGGAAATTCCATACCAACACCAAGCCTAGCTGCATGTTTTTCATGGCTGCCATTTCTCAGCAGTTCTGCTGACACTGATCTAAGTTCCTTGGTTCCTTTTCTCTTGTCAAGAAAATGTGAAACGAAAACAGACGCAAACTTGCCTTCTGACTGGGTTCTCCTTTCAGGTGATTGTGCAAAGGTCGCTCTCGGCAAAGAGCCTCTCTCATGCTAAAGGTGGATCGGTGTTCGGCGGATATTTGAAAATCTTCCCAATGTTTTTCATTGTTATGCCAGGCATGATGAGCAGAGCTCTTTTTCCAGGTAAGCTTCCTCTGATGGTGGGAATGATAGAGATGAGTATTTAGCATGTAGTGACGAGTTGTAAACTTGGAACCGTCTCAGAGAATTATCAGCTATGCAGTGAAGCAAACTTTACTCCATTCCTGCTACTTTACATAGACAGTATAGAGGGAACGTTAGCAAAGTTTGCTGAATGCTCCATGAGTGAACCAGTCATGCTTAATCCTGTTTTTCCACCACCAAGCTCACCCCTTCTCAGTTCTGTGCACACTTTTGTGCTGAGCACAGAAATGCGTACTTTTTGGGATGCATTTCTAAACATTAGCAAACTGACTTCAAATGTACATATGTCTGCATCCTTGTACCCTTTGCCTCCAAATACTTATTTCAAGAACCTATAAGACCTACCCCTCATAGTTCAGATAAATGAAGCAGAGGCAGGCAGAAGGCTACATACTGAGGGGTGAGGGTGAGGAACACTAGCTTGGCTTCTCACGGGAGCAGTATGGCATCCACTTCGCCTAAATTCAGAGGTAGAACACAACCATTAGAGCCCAAATCATTGAGCAACCAAGCAAGCAGGGTGAGCCTTCCATGGGACAATTCCCACCCTTCTCCCACAAAGGAAGGCAGGCAAGCAAGGATGCGGCCACTCAAGGGTTCTTGGGTCCTGCAGCTGGAGTGTGAAAACCTTGGATATCCTTCACCTCTCCCTCACTCATGAGCATAGGGTCGGGAAAAAGCACGGCTGCTCACCACTTCTCCAAGGGGACCACTCATATGCGCATCACCTGCACCCTCCCTGCAAGTGGTTCGCAACTGGCAGGGAAGCACAGTTGGGCTTGCTCTTGGTTCTCAGAGAGTCCTGCAAACCATGCGTCCAGAACCCTCTGCAGGAGCTGCTGGTCAAAGGGTGGCAATGAGGGGAGAACCACGGGTTGAATGGAGCAGATGTGGAATACATCTGCCTTCACAGAAGAACACTGAATCAGGAAAGCTCAGTGAACACATGTCCTAGACTTCAGCAGACAACTGGGGTACTCACTGAAATATGTGGCCTGACTGCAGCCACTTCCAAAGGGCCAAATCACCCTAGTAACAAAGAGTCCTGCAGCCATTCTTAGGCAGCCTCATCACCAAGGAGACCTGAAGCCACAAGGAGGCTCGGCCAATCCATACCCTGGAAGACTGTCATGATCAATGACCATAGGCAGCCACGTCTGCACACTGCAGTGAACAGCATACCTGGAGCCGTTCCTCGGCAGCCATACCACCCGAAGGTGGGCTGCTGCCATTCTTGGCCAGCCTACTTGTCACGGACATTCTGGAAGCCAGTGGACTTGGAGTTCAATTCAGAGAGCCCACTACCCTCCCTCCTCTGAATGCCTGGTGTCAGAAACACTCCCTTTTGAGTGCAATGAGTACTATTACATCTATCAACTACCTAATAACAAGCATCCACCTCTCCTGAACACCTTCATCCAGATATGTTAAAAATAGTCAGCAAATTAAACGCTATGCAGTTGGCCCCATTATACTATCCATCACCCTTTAGAAAAGGTCACCTGGATACACACATACCCAGTGAGCCTGTTATGAGCCACTACTGAGTATGTGTGTATCTCTCTGGAGCTCTGCCTAGTGTTGAATATAACACTTGGTGTCAGGAATGCACAGCTTGAATCTCAAACTCAGTCCGAAAGGCCGTTCTCCTTTGGGCTGCTCTTCTACACAATGGCAAGCGGGTACAGCTTCCTCTGCATTTCCTACAGTTAAACTTGCATCTCTTCGTTTACTTGTTACAGATGATGTGGGCTGTGTAGACCCAGCTATTTGTGAAAAAGTCTGTGGAGCTAAAGTGGGGTGTTCCAATATTGCCTACCCTAAGCTGGTTATGGAGCTCATGCCTGTTGGTGAGACAATTTCATCACTCGGAGGGTGAGGTGGCCTGAATGGACTAGGATCATGCTCATTCAGTGACAACAGTTAACTAAGTTGTGCTCTTCACTTCTTAGGACTCCGTGGTTTGATGATAGCTGTGATCATGGCTGCCTTGATGAGCTCTCTCACCTCCATCTTCAACAGCAGCAGCACACTCTTTGCCATTGATATTTGGCAGCGACTCCGTAAGAAGGCCACAGAGCAGGAACTCATGATTGTTGGAAGGTCCTTCCCCCCTTATTCAGTTATCTGAAGCACTCATGTATTTCCCTAGAAGGAAATAGGTCCACACCCTGCTAAGGGTGCTCAGCAGCACATTAAAATCTGGAGTACTGGGCTCACCGGAACTTCTATAGAGCTGGGAAAGGGATTCTCTTGGTGGCACTTGGGGGTTACATTTCCTTGGTAGATGGGATTGAAGGCAGAGGTGTCGGGCTGTAGGCAAAAAGGGTGAGCCCCCAAATACAAAAAGTACAGTACACTGTAGCTTAAAGTTCTTGCTGCCAATGACTAAGCCTTAGGAGAAGCAATTTGACCTTCTAGGAGGGGGCAGAAAGCTGTACAAAAGCCAAGAAACCACAAAATGATTGGTGGCTGGTGGAAGTGGGGTTGAGTCAGAAGAAGGGAATCCCCCAGAGGGCTGGACTGAGAATTCCACAAAGGCTGGAATTGCCCCCCAGGGGTGAGGTTTTGCTCCACTGCTGTAGAGGCTTCGTGTGCTAGCAGGGGCAGTGCTAGAGACCAAACAGATCCAGCACTCAGGCCCACATGCCCCCATCAAATTATAAGTTTACACAAGCTAGTTTACATAAGGTTTAAAGTCTCTCTCTGTGTGTGCATATTTAAGGGGCCCAGTATCCTAAGGACATCCTTCTATGTAAACAAGGAAGTACAGACCCAGGGAAAGGAGGGCATTTAATTTCTGAAAAAAATCAGGCAGAAAGATAGAAGAAGGAAGACAGAAAGAGGTGAAACACAATCATTCAGGGGAATCAGATTCAACAAGTATCATTGGGAATTTTACTTCAGCAAGTGCCCATGGACAGCAGAGTTGATAGGGCTGATGGGCTCCCAGAGTTTTGGGCTCCAAATGAAACATTTGGACTCCAGCGCTAGTGGCCCACATTGACACACGTCTGTGCATCCAGTTGCAGCATGGCTTCTTGAGACCTTCTTGCATGCACTCCTTTTCGGTTTCTGTTCAAACCTGGAGAATCGAGGCAGTGTGATGAGACCTTGAAAAGCCATAAATGCAATGGGAACTATTCCCATATGAAGTCTCACATAGAGCCCATTCCTAGATAAGAGCTACAACTGAGCCACCAAGTCTCTTGTTCAACTCACTAAACGTGCATCCAAAGCAGATTTGGTTGGACAAGTGCTCATGCTGTTGGCCTCCACAGCTGATGTCCTCCTGTCTCCATATGCATTTCTCCAGCATGTGGCGTTGGATACGTGCTGTCATCACTGCAGAGATTGCAGCTGTCAAAGTGACTTCTGTATGTAAACATCCCTCCATATGAGACATCTGGCAGCAGATGGTTCATATCTGTGGGATATGAATTGCCCAACCAGTTTCAGTGGCAGCCTGTTCACCATTTGTCCAACATGATGCTTCTCTTATCCACCTTTTGGCCAATGAAATGTAGTCTCTGTCTGATGTCTGACCAGTAATACTTGCTGTGTTCCCCCAAAACCCTTTCTGTCAGGTTCACAATGTTTTTGTTTGCATTTTTTCCCCTCATAGGTTCATTGATAACGTAAGATGTATATTTTTCCACTTGCAGAGAAGTAATGCCCTTTGTTCTCCTCCCCCAGGGTGTTTGTTCTGATTCTGGTTGTCATTAGCATCCTCTGGATTCCCATCATCCAGACAGCAAACAGTGGTCAGCTCTTTGACTACATTCAGTCAATAACCAGTTACCTAGCGCCACCCATCACTGCACTCTTCATCCTAGCAATCTTCTGCAAAAGGATCAATGAGCCAGTAAGTACAGAATCAATGAGGAGGTTCATATGAATAATAGCATCTCCCAAATGTCATTGTTTCATAGTTTTTAAGGACAGAGAGCACCATTCATTGTGATTATATTGACTGACTTCTCCTGAGTGCAACAACTGTGGAATTTAGCCCCATTAGCATACAGCATCTCTTTAAAAGGATTCTTGGGCCTTTGATTACTGGTTTAACTGAAAGTACCGATAAAACACAGGAAGTGGGGCAAGTGAGGAAGGAACTTCATAAGAAATTGCCAGTACTTTTTATTCCCTCATTGCTCAGAAACTAATTCTTATTCTGAGGATGAATTTCCCTAGTTATAATCTTCCAACCATAAAATCTCCTTTGCATTGAGAATTCAAGAAAGCAAAGCCTTATATAATTCTGTGTGAGATCTATCCACAAGAAACAAGCCATGTATCTCCTTCTGACAGGTGGATGGATCTCCGGAAAGAACAATCCTATGGCCCCTGGATAGTGTCTGGAGGGCCGTAGGATCATACTGATTCCTAGTGCTGAAGTCAGAAACAGTTCTCCAACCTCAGACCTGTGCTAATCCACTTTTCCCATACTCTTATACCCAGTGTGGAAAAAAATGCACTGGCTGTTCTCAGATCAGGAAAGTGATTGCAGAAAGGGAGCAATAAGGCATTTCAGGAGGCAGGAAGGGAAAGATACTTCAGTGGTCAGGCTATGACCTATCCTGATGCTATCCTTAGCCTTGTTTCCTTCCCCTCCAAAGCACATCTTGTAGATGACTAAAAATGACTGCCTAGTAAAAATGCAGAATGGAAGGAGAAGGACAGTGAAGATCACCTTCCCAGCTTGTCCTGTTCTGCATTGGATGCCTATAATTCTCTGATTCAAATGCTTCTAGGTATCTCAGATGGATTGTGATGAACAAAAGCTTCTGAACTCAGAGGCTTCAGATCATGGTTTCACACAGTCCTTCAACACCTTCCATCCTGGTGAGGCCCTCCAGTACAAGTGAGCATCCATTTGCCTTCCTCTGCCAAGATCCCAAACGTTGCAAGATACCAAAAAACCCCATTATCAGCCTGGTTTTTATCTCCTAGCTCTGCATGCCCCAAATTCACAATGCAAAAAAGAAGAATAGTAATAGAGACAATGAGTCAAGCCTGATCATTCCCCCTTGACTGCACAAAAAATGACTTCCCAGCTGAAAGATGGGTATGTTTTAAAAGACTAAAGAAAATGAAAAGAAGCAGCAAATGTCAAGATCAGACAAAAGGAAAGTATGAACCCTTTATTTTCCTGCCCATTCCATGGCGCAGACCTTTGGAAGTTTTTCTCCAATCGAGGCCTTGTGCTCCACATCAAGCCCATTGGTGTGATTGCACGGACACCACGAAGAAGAAGTTTTAACCTAAGCTATGCTGGGTGTTTTGGGGGGGGGGGGGGGGTATTTTTGATCCTGCTGCTCCAGAGGAGTTCTCTGAAATGGGATTAAGTTCTCAGGATGAAATTTGTTTACCCCCTGCCCCCACCACCACATTGGACCTGCCAGTTTATATTACCTTTGAAATGTCATCTTTATTTTCAACTATTTTCTCATATAGTCACTATTTTCTGTAGGCTGCCATTATGTAACACTTAAAAGGCATGCGACTGTCTGAGTCTTGAACATGAAATTTCTGTCCCAAATGAGAGCCGTAATTTTGCATTCAGGATTGGTGTAACTAGCACCACTAATGTGGTTTGTGGACCATTAAACGGGTGAACTGACAGAAAAACTGCACTGCCGACATTGATTTAATATTTTAAAGGTACTTACACTGGTCAGTAAGCAGAGATTTGGAGCAGCCAAACACCTGTAGGGCAAGAGTTAGGGTTAGATGTAAGATGCAAAGACTCCCTGTGCTGAGGTAATAGCTTGGATTATGAATAGCTTGGATTATGTTCATTTTCAAACTAGGACCTTATACGAGTAAAATCTATAAGCAATGGGATATTTCACCAAGTCCCTCTCTCTATTTTCTTCCCAGGGAGCGTTCTGGGGCCTGATCTTTGGGCTAGTCGTTGGTTTCATTCGGATGGTTCTGGAGTTTACCTACGTGGTGCCATCCTGTGGTGAGGAAGACCAAAGGCCAGCTGTGTTGAAAGATGTGCACTACCTGTATTTTGCGATCATCTTGTGTGTACTCACAGCCGTTGTCATTGTCTCCATTAGTCTCTGCACACCACCAATCCCAGAAGAAAATGTAAGAGATATTCAGTTAACATCTGTTTTTTAATACAATTCCCTTGCTTTGTCTTTCTAGAGGGTGATGTATTTTGGACTTCAGCTTCCCTGCAACAAAGTCCTTAGTTTAATTTATTGTGCTTCTCAGATATCATGGAGTTAAAAATTTTGCAGGTCCAGGGAGCGCTGGAAATGGAAGGCAAGCTGGCTTTCATGCTGTGAGGACACTACAGCACATCCTATCAAGGAGAGAGGCAGGCAGTGGGGAAGAAATCATATTACAATGTGCTGCTGAGGAGGGAATGTAATGGCTCTAATTGAACCCTCTTTCGTATTTCAGCAGAGACAGCATCAATCTTGCAAGCTAACAAGATTAATATTGTTGGAGCACTGGCATTTAGAAAGAACATTCCATCCCAAAGTGATCTCAATTACATTGAACAACTGAGGTTTGGTAGCAAAGAACTTTATTTCATTTGCTGCATAAAGCAGGCAAAGAAAGTTTGCTTTGAGCAAGGACTTTAAGTGAAGCTTTGAATGCTTTCTGGTAGTGCTGGTTTCCCCCAAAACAGCCCTGTCTTGAGTTTTGCTGGGCCAACCTTGTGACTGATTAAAATTATTCAGTTTGATTCAGTCAACAAAGAATGCCTCCATAATCTTTTCTAGGTGAGTGTCACTCCAGTATCGGAGTGGAACCTGGGCAGGAGGGGGTCATTTCACTCATAATCCACTTGTGGGACCCCATAGGCAGCTCGTTGGCTGCTGTGTGAACAGAACGCTGACAAAATGGAGCAGTGGGCAGATCCAGCATGGCTCCTCCTATGTTCTGAAGGGGATTAGGAAGGTCTCTGCATATGGCCTTCCTTCTTATGCTATTGAAAAACTCCTTATAGTCACCTCCCAAACATCCCTATTTGTTCTCATGTTGATCCAGAATCTCTGCCTTTCTGGGCAGAACTGGAATTAATCTTTTAGGGTAGAATTCAATGCATGTGTATGCAGAGAAAAATACTGCAGCTCCTAGAATTATCCAATCTACCATGAGATTTGGGGAATACTGGGAGTTGTAAGGCTTTTTTCTGTTTAAACATGTATAAGATTGTGTTCTTAATGTGTGAAAACATGCTTTCAGGTGGTAATTATCATTATTGAATTCTAAGGCAGGAGGTCAGTCAACAAAGGTCAGTTTTAGATGGCGCAAGTGCTATGCTGAAAAATCTGTGGTGGCTGCATCTATACAAAGCTTGTCCTGTGATAAAGTAGCTGTGCACTGATTTACTCTTATCCCACCACTGTGTCTATGGCATACATTGCTCTGTGGCTGCAGAGTGCAGGGGTCAGTTACACCATGAGCTGAGAAAAGTACACTTCTTCCTCTATTTTAATTGGGGGGTTTAATTGGTTTGAATCACTTTCAGTCCTTTAAACGGTTTGGTCACCCCCAGTCCTTTTGCTATCACATAGCTGATAAAACTGAATTCACGAATCAATCAATCCTCGATTCAGGAAAGTGCAGCTTTCCCCCAACTACTGGGATGCATGAAATTGCTTTGCATTAAGGGGCACAATTCATTTCAGGCCTGATCACCGGCTAGGAAAAGGAAGCTGCCTTAACTCAAAGCCATTTTCCATCTAGCTCAGGCCTGTCTGTGCAAACTGGCTCCATGGAAAGATCATTCAGACTCGCAGGGTTTGAACACAGCTCCTCTTGCATGAAGAGAATGCACTCTGCGGTTTCCATTCTGCACTAGTAACCCTCCATCCTGCACTACTAAATGTAAAAAAATGTGATGATACAGTCACCTCCAAAACAGACGTATAGAATATATTTTCACCAAACATAAATGGAAAATCCATGGGTTAAGAGTGACTGTACACGATCCCTGACGACTTGTTCTTTGAAAATAGCAAACACGCAAAAGAGGGAGGATAGTTATGTATCCGGTGCTTCAGTTTTACCATCAGTGCACCAAGCTTTAAATGAATTATAGCCTCAGAACAGCAAGAAGAAGCATTTTCCCCTGCTGTTTTGGACGTTCTCCTATCCCTGTGGTGATGGATGCTGTGCCACAAAACAAATATGCAAAGAATTTGTCTGGTACGCTTCAGAGTTCATACGTCTTCATTGTGAGTAGCCCATATTGTGTCATGTTGTCCTTGAAAACTCTGCAAAGGAGCTTACAATTAAATTTGAGACTGTGAAGTTGAAATGCAACTGCCAGATGCCAGATGGCATTTTGGAAGAGAAGGATTTATTTTCGTTCCACTGTGGAAAAAGTGTGTGTTCGTTGGGGGAGGGGGGCTTTCCTAAATTTTTACAAAGTTTCTTTCTAACGATCTTCAGAAAAGAAAGGGATAATATAGAAAGTGGCAGAAGAAGTGAAATCAAAACATGGCTCCATATGATGCTGACTGGCCTGAAAACACCATTTGCTTCCCGCCATGATGTTTGATGCCTTCTGCAGTGCATTGGTGCAAACTCATTTTGCAAGCCTCAGTCGTTAGCTTTTATGGAGAACGGCTATCATTAATTGCTTCACATAATCCGTTGTCAGTTCTAAGCATGTGCCACACATAAGTGGAACTCTGGTTGCTAATGAGTGTGAAAAGAAAATCAAATTCTATGTATTATGTTTTACTGTTATTTTCTCCATGGTCTGTTTCACTGATTTCACCTATAGAAAAAGGTGTCAGCCAGTAGCAAGCAAGTGCCCCAGAGAATTAAAATCCCCTACTGAGACCAGTGGAGAACTTGCCAGTGGTCACATTTTACTGCAAGGAATTAAAGGAGAGTGTGGTTCTATGGTCCCTAGACAGCATCTTCTATTTCATTTTCCCAGATCTAGATTTGGAGATGGTGTTCCAACTCTGGAGCCACGAATTGGAAGTTGGGCCCACTTCTCCTCACAGCTGGTGTAGAAAGGTCAGTGCAGTATCTCTCTGGGGTTGGGTGAACAACCTCAGAGAGTGGGGAAAGGAGGCTCCAGGGAGTGGGCAGGGCAGGAGACCATAGGGACCAAAGGATGAATTACCCTGAGCCCTCCCAGCCTCCTTTTCTTCCCTCCACCCTTGAAAATGCTGTCGCTAGATAGAAAGAAAAGTCCACCTAGCAAAAATGCAGAGCAGAAAGATGGGGAGGCAACAATTGCTAGCAGGATAAAGTGTCTGACTTGAGTCTTGGTGCAAATTTCTTTCAAATCCAAGAAACAAATGCACTTTAGAGTTAGAGCATTAGTCATACTTACATTTACATGCAAGCTTAGATGTTTTGTACCTTTTGCTTTGGATTATTTTATACTAGCACACTGCTTCCCCACTAGTCACCAACAGACATTTGTGTTGATAACAAAGAAAAGTCTCTGGGATCCTCTCATGTCCTCCAGCTTCATTACATTTAGTTAGATTTAACAAGTAGCGAAAAAGGAGTCCTAAAAGGATTCTTCAAGAAAGATGAGGATCATCAAATCAAAGCAATTTAGCACAATGTGACAAGAAAGATTAGCCCTGCCTGATGCTCATCTTGGTTGAAAATAATTTAAATAAAGCTATACATCTTCTGGAGATTATACAACTTTTCTTGTGTCAGCTGGAAACTGCTTTCTAGATTTTGTGCCTGAAATTCAAAGTATTAAAAGCACTGTTCATTTATAAGTGACCTTTTGAAGAGTTACTCTGCCAAGTAGTATAAGAGGTTAATGATGTGTTATATGCAAATGTTTCTACAGGAGCACAGGAAGCTGCATTATACCACATCAGATCCTTGTTCCATGTAGCCCAAAAATACCAACACAGTTGAGCAGAGGTTCTCCAGGGCTGTGGAAAGGATTTATCCTTAGCCCTATGCAGAGGTGTGGGGGACTAAATCTGGGACCTGATCCATGCAAAGCTGGAGTTTTACCACTGAGCTAGAGCCCTCTGCAGTCTCCATTAGAGCCCATGTGCCATTTTAATTCTTTTTTCCTTAGAAAAACTGCATTTGGAAGGAGGGGTTGAAGCAAAGAAGCAGTGAGCATTTATCCACTCCAAACAATGGAGAGTGTTTCTAAGATGATACAAAGAATGCAGGACCAAAAAGAGACAGCTGCTGTAATACAGTTGATTTCCAAGCCATTTTAAGGAGAATTCTTTATCAAGAGGAAGTTTGTAAAAATGATACAAAAACAAAGGCTCAGAATCACATAGCATTAAAATGACAACACTCAAAATAATAAACTGTGTCAAATTTTGTTTCTTATTTTAACCATAATGTACATTGTGCATACAACTTAAGCACATGCTTAATCAGTAATGCCCAGTAAAATAAATAACATATAAATATATGATTCCTGAAGGTCTTCAGTACCCAACATCACAATCAAATAAAAATATAAATAAGTAAGTTTTTAAATAAAACTCAAAAAGTTCATACTTTTTGGTAAAACTTTTCTGCAGCTTTCCTTAATAGCATCAGCTTAACACAGTCTAGATCAACCACTTTCCTAATACAGTTGCCTCTGTTAAATGTCAGGGTATCTAAAATTTTAATTTGTTTAAAAACCTAGAACAGTATATCCCTTCTCTGTGTCCACAGTGCAAACTGTGTCTGATTTGGAATTCCATTCCATAGATGTGTGGGCTACACTTCTAATTTTATAGGATTGTGATATTGAGTGTTATTGAGCTTCTGAGAATTCATGAATCGAATTGGGACTTTTCTATGCCAATGGCATGACAATATGTAGGATGATGACCATGTTTCTTTTCCCCCTTCAAAAATCTGGCTAGACCACAGTCCATCATAGGCACTATGTTCTCAGACCCAGAGGGGCTCTGAAACATTTGTTTCTAATTTGTCATCCAGCTTGCCCGATTAACATGGTGGACCAGACACAGCAAAACACCAGGAAAAGACCTGGAGAACCAAACCCACCAAAGCACAGAAACGACTTCCACGGGAGAAAATGTTTTGGATACTACGCAATCAGAAAATGGAGATTTGGTACATAATGAACATGGAGGTATGTTGCCTGTCTTCTTCTACTAGATGTATACATTTGTATACTTATATACATAGAAGTAATGTCTCAGGGTCTGTTAAAACAATGACAAATGTCTTCTAACATAACTGATCTGGAATGAGTGGAAAACTCACTCCAGTTCACATAAACTCACTCCAGTTTCTATCTGTTTGGCACAGGGTTTAAGCCAAAGTAGACTAGACATAGTAAATACCTCTGTATTGTCTCCTGATAACAGGCAGTCATTTGATGCTACAGAGTTTTGAATAGTAATGGCACAGGGAGGGACCTCATAGCCCTTTCCCCTCCAGCCTTTTTTCAAAATATCACCCCCAGCTTCTTCTCTCACCGGAACACTATGGATGGCCATCACTTCTATTTGCTGGTTGGGAAAGCATTCTGGGGGCAATTTTGAACAGAAAAAATGCCCTCGCAAAATGGATTAAGCACTCACTTCCCACACACCAATCCTCCAGTCAGATTCATAATTTGTGGCTATGTCTCATTTAAAAATAATGGCAGGACAAAGACTGTTACATAGATCTACTGTATAAGTCTTGCTTAGCCTGGTGGGTTCCTAATTCAGTGTCAAGAATTGCACACATTCAAGTACTGGATGCAGGGATTCAGAGGTGGGAACCGCATGTCCAAGCTCCTTCTCATGTACTTCGGTAGATGCACTATTCTTATTGAATAAGCATGACTGGCCAACTGTTTTACTGACATTCAGAAAAGCTGCACCAAGGATAACTTGTGGCAGAGATGAGTCGCTGGTGCCGGGGAATAAGGGCTCACATCCTTCAGTGGGTCTCACAGAAAACGTTAATGCAGGTTCTACTTTAAATTGAGTTGTGGGCATGAGCTGCTTGGCAACCTAGAACTACAGTGATAGCACTTAATTTAGTCTAGAATTGACACAGGGTTTTGCCTACCCCAAAATGCTGAGGCAAATGTTGGTGATTGGAGAAGGAGCTATATCATTGCATATGTTACATTTTGGCTAAGTTACAAGGCATAACCTTGTTTTTTGGTTCATTTTTTCCAAAGCTTCCAGATAATTATTTACTAAATTTATATCCTGCCTTTTTTCTTCCAAGGCAGCTTACCTAATTCTCCTGTTCCTCTCAATCTTATCATCACAGCAACAACCCTGAGAATCTCTGAGTAGCCCAAAGTCACCCAGTGAGCTCCACAGCAGGGTGTTTGTGTGCAAGAGAGGGCAGGGGCGCCCCCATCCACTTTGAGCTCTGTTCATAGCTGGCAGAGTTGACCTAGCCTTCCAAATGAAGAAGTCACTCCACCCATATTGTAGAGTGAAAACCCACAGATGCATATAGCTTGATTAGTATGGAGTTAATGCTGTGAGAGCAGCCTCAACTGAGACTAATTGAGATGTAAATTTCATTAATTTGCTGGAGGGCTTTCACTGAAGGACTGCTGAAAGACAACTCAAAATGATCTGTTCTTCCCAGATAAATATCCAGCAGTCAACAACACCTTGTACTTGTTAACGAGTTTTTCACAGCTCAATATCCATTAGTGTGGGCTCCCACTCATTCTGAAGTTCTCATTGGGATCTATATACTACCTAGCTGGTAGTCTGCGGTAGGGTTAGGGAATCTCCTCTCTCTCATTCTCCACCACGGTGGAAGGCTGCAGTCTCTAAGTAGCCTTTTGGAGGTCAGATGTAAGTGGTGGGTGGAGACTGAACCATCAACAAGTGGAACTAGCCCTCTTTCTCTTTCATGGATTTCTCCCTCCCTCTGCCTTCTTTCGCCCATCCAGCTGCTGGAGAAGCAAACTGCTCTTGGCGGAGGTCTGGGCAATGGCTTGAAAAAAGGTGTTTGAACTTTGTTACGTGTGGCCCTACGGCTGCAGTTTTCCATTTTCTGGTTTAGGGGAAGCAAATGCTGAAGTGCAGAAAAGTCATTCCAACCAGCTACATCCTGGAGATGAAGCTTTAATAAGTGGACTACAGCAATCAGCGCAGTAGCACACAGTATTTGAACTATAAGGAAAGCCAACTCACTCATCTCAGTCTACTGTGAACATCACATTGCAAAAGAAAGGAAAAGTGAAGTAGTGTTTTTGGTGGCTCTATGCAATTATTTATTGTATTTCTATATCACCTTGCAGAAGCCAGTGTGATGGTTTACAAAAGAAGTTCTACTTCAGATTGCCAGAGTTTTTGTGCACAGGTCTAGCTCATGAAGAGTGCGTGTGTCTAGGGCTAAAGGGAGTTACTGCTCACCAACATTTGGAGGGTTACAAGTTGCCTTCTTTTGCTGAAATATGCCACATACATTGGCACAGCATGTTGTTGTTCAGCTGTTTGCTCATGCCTGACCATAAGTGATCTTAAGGGCCAAATCTCACCACACTTTCTGATCCCACGCCACCTCTTTCAGCTGAATTATGCTCTGGCCTGCTTCCTTTTTGATGGAACCTAACCACCTTGTTCTTCGGTAACCTGGTTTTCTCTTACTGCTGAACATTTCAAGTATTATTTTTTTTTCTAATGAGCTTGATCACATTCAAACAGCTAATCCATAATCATTTCTTTTTCTCATTTTCTCCCCCTTTAGAAATAAAGTATCCTTACTGGAAGATGTTATATTTCTGGTTCTGTGGAATTTCCAGGAACCCCAAACCCACTTTAACCAGAGAAGAGGAAGCTCTCCGTGAGAAGAAGCTTACCAACATTGAGGAAGAGCCAGTGTGGAAAGCCGTTTGCAATGCCAATGCTATAATTCTCTTAGCCATCAATGTCTTTTTATGGGGCTACTTTGGATGAACTGAAGCTCCTGAGGCAACTCAAATGGATCAATTGCTTTGACTTGATTTAGAACACAGGCACCAATTGAAGGAAATGGGTTCATCTTGAAGAAACAAGTTCCAAATCGTTATTCAGAAGTGGACCTCCAAAACAGCTTTGGAAAGACCCTTAATATCCCCATCAGTCAAATAATCTTAATCTGCCTTACAGGGTTACTGTGAAAACCAACAAGATAAAGCAATCTAGATACCCACAGTGCTCTATAAATGTCTCTTGTTCTGGACATGAAAAGACCTTTTCTTGAAAAAGAGAAAACTTAAATTACTCTAACGACATTGAAGTAACAACACCCCATATAAGATCAGAAAGTAGGGCCTGCTTCAAGGCTCTTGGACCAAACACCATTAATGTTCCCTGCTCCACTCCAGTGAGTCTACCTTCTTGTGGCTATTGTCATCAGGGGTTATGTCCCCATTATAGCTTTTACTTGCTTGGTTGACAAGGCAAGAACCAGTGAACAAATAGGCAGTAGTATCTACTGCTCCTCCTCCTCCTCCCCCCTAGCTCTATTGTCTAGTTCAAAACAGGGTGTGGTAAACAAAAACGTAATGGTGAACAGCAAGTCTACAGAGCTGTTATCAGTTGGTCCCTGCTGGAATCTGAGCCTTTGGCATGTGCTTCAATATGTCTCCTTTTAGAAGAGAAAGGCCAATGTGTCTCATTTTAGAAAAGGAAGACTTTAGAAGGGGAGTAAGAGATGGATTGACTTGAATTTAGAACAGCTAAGCAGGAATGTCATGGATAGGACTTTTTGGAGGGCTTTTTGGGTCCCCATTAAACGGGAAATGATTTGATGGCACAATACAACAACGCTAGCCATGCCTGAAAGACTCAAAATAAAATACTGAGGATTCATCAAGCAGAAAAAAATATAAGGTATATACAGTAGTATATTGTTGCACTGGGTAGATTTTATTCCATCAGATATATCCAACAAAGGGGGCTTTTGTCCATAGAAGCTTGTGTCACAATAAATGCAGTATTCTTAGTCCTATTCCACCATTACTCACTTGGAAGTGGTGAGCACAAGGGTACAAATGGACTACAGGACCAAGCCTTTAGCTCCCTTTTGATGATCACACAGTGTCTTCCCACTTCCCACACATTCTACAATACAAATCCTATACAATTGGATGTAGGTGCTGTGATAAATCCTGTACAATTTAAAATCTTTGAGTCCCAAAGCACACAATCAGCCTACACAAAAACTGGGTGGTGGGGACACTCAAAGTTCCTTTATACTTGCATTGCCCTCAAAAAGAAGCCAGAACATCAAGTCAACTTAAGAAAAATATTAATTTAGGGCATACTCCTGTGTATGTTTAGACAGAAACCCACAATTCCCAGAACTCTGGTTGGGGAATGTGGGAGTTGTATGGCTTTTTTCTGTTTAAACATATAGGCTTGTGCATTAACTGAATTTCAAGTTGACTTTCTTAATATTTTGAATGTTTTGTTACAGGACTGCAGGCAAATTCTCATCATCAAATACTACCAATAACAAGATTAAATTCATTGCAAACATTTCTCAGATTCCTGTGTATTGTGTAATTATATAACCATTCCAAAGCTGTTGAGAACATCATTTATATATTACTGGTTAGGATAGGAGAAACATGGTCTCTGAATGCTACAAAAACCCTTAGCTTTTAAACCTGAAATTTTCTTGTTAGGCATTATACCGGAAGATATTAGCAAACAAGAAATGTATTTGATGTTACATTTAATCACAGCGGTGAGGATTGCGCTTGCTCAATACTGGAAGAGTGAGGAATTATCCACTGAGGAAATGCTTTTAAAAAAGATTCTGGATTGTGCAGAAATGGACAGATTGACTCTATCACTGAAGGAGAAAGAAGATACTGACTTCTATCAAACTTAGGACCTTTTTTATGATTGGCTGGAGAAACAGGACTTGGCTTAGATTTAAAGATGTTTTTAAATTTTTATAAATCGATTTGAATATGACTATAGAATGTTAAAAAAATATGTAGTAGGGGGCTGACCCAGTATGTCCGATGTATTTGATGATTGATGTTTTTAGTTTTAGTTTAAAATCTTTATAAAAATCTTTATAAAATAAAAAATAATAAAAAAAGAGAAACATGGTCTCTGTAAGTACTCATGAGCAATCATCCAAAGCAAGTGGACTGAAATGCTGTGGCAAGGTCAGTGAATCTAACCATTGTACAGATGCTGTCCATCATCTTTGAATAATAAAGAGAAATGTGAACAAGTGTGTTAACTTGAAAGAAGGCTGATCAGACCTTCCAAAATTTGTAAAAAAACATGAATCAGTGCAAAACTTTGAAAACTGGATTCAGACTCAGTAATATTTAGAGAAGACCTACTGAAATCAATGGAGTTCAAAGTAGTCACAAATAACCTAAGGCCATTGCTTCCAATGAGTCCACTCCAAGAGCCAAATCAGATATTACTTTAAATCCACATTTAACAACTGACATTTTTACACTAGAGTCGGTGATATCATGAGCCCCTCTTATCCTACACACTAGCCTATTGATCCAGACTGGGATTGCTGCATCTACTCTAAAGGGGGCACTTAAAAAGATGAACCTACCAGATACGATCCATTTT